ATGATACAGCAAGAAAATTAGGATAATGCTCTTGGCACAACAAGGATTACATTCCATTGCCACGCCGTAGGAAGACGGGATGGAAACCAACTAAGCAGCCATTACGTCCTGAGTGTCCATGTTGGCCTCCAGGCTTCTGGTCGTAAAAGCTATTTTCAAGTGCGGTTTTGGAATAGTTATTTTCAAACACCTGGTGTTAACACAGACTTTTAGTGAGCTATTCATATACTTTTCACTGCTATTTCGACTTTCGCGCAATGATATCAGTTTCAGACGATGACCAAGTTTTGTTGTTCCTTGACTCTGACTTATTGCATTTGCAAAATAAAAATAAATAATGATCTTCTAGTTTTGTCAGATGTACAGGTCCGAGATGCCTTTCATCTTGCATGGTCAGAGAACCGAAATAACTGTTTCATTATAATGTGCATCAAGTTGTCATTTAAAAACTGGTATGTTTCTACAGAGGTTTTAAAGTGACTCACATTAATCTTAAAGATTTCATCTATAGGAATTACGCTGAAAGTATCATTTACAATTTCAAAACATACATATGTGGAGGAGATATACAAATCTGACGGATCGGAGACTAAATGACGTCCACTGCAGTTTCTCTACTTTTACTCTTTGTGCCCCTGTTTGTCGCTTGCAGTATGTTTCTCCAGGTGAAAATGTGACTTGACTGTGAATGCTGTGGGTATCTGACGGGTGCACCAATGGGCAGGATTCGCTCACCTCTTCACCAACATTAGCATAATTAATAAACACATGCTTATGAACTATACAATAGACTCTGCTTTTAAGAAGATATTTCTTTGATTATGGCAAAAGTTTTTGTTGTATTCTAATTATGAACAAAAATCACAGACTAATTCATATATGATGTCAGTGGGGATATTCTTATATAATGACTTCCTGTGGTGGTGAAATTAATCAGGACAAAAACGTATCATTATTTACATTTAAGCATGATCTCTAGCCTTTGGCTTATAAGATAGTTGCAAAAAAAACCATTTCTTCTGTGGGAATAACATTCGATCCGTATCAGAGCGTAAAGCCGCCTTTGGGAAGGCGGGAGTAAATGGAAATGGACGAGATGCATTACCAAACGCCATCGGTGACTGGAGCAGTTCTTTCTGATTATCATCATGTGCAATGTGGCTTGTTGTTGGAGTGCGTTCAAAGACTAGTTTACATTTAAAGAAGTGTTGTGACTTGTTAATACCGAGTCAACAATCCTCGTCTATAAGGTCATGACCATTACCTAGACAAGTTAATACTCGTCAAGGGAATCAAAGACCGATGCTGCTCTGAAGATCCTTGTGTCAATCGGTAACTCTAGAATACACAGGGTCATGTTAAGCTTTTAAGAAACATGTGCATTTTACGTAACCTCATATACATGGAATATCAATAAAAGGAGGCTAAACTCCATACTCGACTAACTTTTATGATGTATGCATATAGTCAGTCTATAAATCATTTGTTATGAATGGAAAATTGGGATGTACAAAGATAATAAGATGAATAACTTTTTGTTGATATAGGTTGGTTGTGGCTCTTGCAGTATAGAAATGAAATAACAGTGATGATAACAATGTAAGCATGCAGGTGTCCAGCGAAGTCCTTCATTCCAGTGATGAAACGCGCAGGCGTACGGCGTAATCAGATACAGTGTTTAATGTCATTGACAACGTTTAGATTGCATGCAGGCACAGGAGCCAGTCAACTTCTGTAGCTTAAAAGCTTTCTGATACAACACTGAAACCGCTATTGGTAATAGTAGAGTCCCTATACGTTGCTGTAAGGAATATGGTTTTTATTCAGAGTGATATCTGAGTTAGACTGAATGGCAGTCCGACATTGGGCTTAACACTTTGATCCACTTTCCAGACTAATCCCTTTATTTCACGACCTACGATTTCCATAAACAGTACTTTCCGAATGACTATTTGTTGAACCCTATTTCTGTATGTTTCGACTGAAAAACAAGAAGTCGATGTTTTGTAGCAATAGGCCGCTACACTGCCCATTCAATGTCACATCCTCACAAACGGTTTCGCCCACTTATGAATTAAGTCCTCTTTCGCTTTACCATTTATTCAAATAGTGTTTCTGCGATTTCGCCCTTCACTTTGTTAACATTTCAATTTAGGTTTATGGACTGGCATTCTTTCTAACCTTTCTACAAACCTTTTCTGCACTGCAGTTAGGCGATCAGAGCCTGTGGTGACATCGTTATTAAAGTCCTATTATTATCATCGACAGTTCAGATCTTTCAAGCAAAGGTATCAGATTCATAATATTAATTGAGGATAGTTCAGGACTCTGATTTTGCTTGACAGTCAGTGCCAATTAAGCCATCATGGATTGTAGAAAAGCGACGAGTCGTTGACACAGCCGGGCCGCTAAAGCATGTGCAGGGTAATCTGGAGCATTGCAGGTTGTGTAATCAAATAAACATGAATTTTACTGACGTCATGGACAATAAACCATTGCCTGAAATACAAAAGGACTGGACGGATTCACAATGAGATGGGAAGCTGGTAATGGCCGCAACTGAGCACCATATACTTGACGAATGACGCATGCTATCAGTCGAGAACATTCACGTGATCAGCTTCACCTTCCATGTACACGATAGCTTACGCTTGAATTGGACATGTAGTAGTGTTTCAAGTACGTGAGATTATGTTCCCAAGAGCTTTCACTTTTTTGTTCATATACCAACATCTGCATAGGAAGCATCTTTTAAAATCAATGATATTTCATTTCACACAAAAAGTCTTAGAACATGTCATTAGTTGGACGCAGTACCGTTAACGTTGTTGTGTGGTAGCTGACTTGTACACGTGGGAGGGACAGGATTGCTTTTCTTTAGTAATTATGTAGTAGCAGGAACCAAACCCGGCTAAATACGTTTACTTGTTAAACGTAGGATGCTTTCTATGAAGTTGTGTGGGCTGATTTACTCATCCATTGTATTTTGACGATAACGTCATTAAATATTCAGACATGGCGTCACTGGGTCCCATTAGATCTTAATGCATCTCAGTGTTTCTGGTGAAAAGGTATTTTCATATTAGCAAAACATTTAAAACATTTGCATTCATTTGTAGCTAATCTGTGGTTTATGATGTTTGTGATGTGTTTGAATTGTGATAGTAATTTTTAAAAGGATATATGTGTGAAATAACTGTTGGATGGGAAGTGAATTCTTAAAAATGTAGTGCATGTTTCTCTGTCAGTTTTGAAATTTTTTTTAATCAACATCGTTAGATTTGAGTTCTCTTTTAATGAGCATAGTGCATGAATAATATCATTTCCATCTTTCGCGGTTGGTTTGCCCTAAGAAAATCCCCAAAAATTCTTTCATCTGGTGAAATTGAAATAACATGTACTCAGACGACCTGTAATAATTCTTGCCGGTCCTTTAATGAGGCCTAACAGAATAATTGAGCAGTTGTAGATCCAAAAATACCATTGCAACCCACGAATTTCCGCATTAAGCTGGACATTCATGTTTTCACAATCACATCCTTGAAGGACAACAGTGGCTGGGATCCTATTTGCAACCCGACAGTAGAGTTCTAGGAAAATCCTATTTCCACAGATGTCTCCGCAATCACACATGGTCTTGGTCAATGCAATAAATTAAGCCAAATTCAGCCCTTTTCTACACCAAATACTCGCTAAAAATTGGATGAGCAGATTGATTTATGGACGCAAGTTGACGTTGCCGCGACTTAGATTACGTCCGGAGTGACCACTAACAACATGTGCGTTGAATACACAAGGTCAAGAGATGTCCAAACACCCCGAGGGCATTTGTTTGTGTGTTCATTACACGATAAGGTGGTTGTGTTTGCCGTAGTTCAAATACATCAACTTTCTGCCTCTTAGTCAACATGAAACGAATGACCTTTACCGACATCAAAGCCTCAGTTTCCAATTTTCATCCTCTTTGCATTTCAGAGCCTGATTAATAATCTAACAGGGGTAAATGTTTCCTTTTCCCTATCCTCTTCTACTGAATCGCCATGGGTGATCAAGTGGGTTTTATTTCGCCATCTTAGTTAGACAGGCCTCGCAAATTTAATACTTCTATAATGTTTACCTAAATTTAGAAACCCATAATCTTCTTGCAATCGAAAAGTCTCCTATTTTCTGTGATTAGTCTCCATAGTCACCACCATATATTTGATTTATACTTTTTACAAAACTTTGGAACACTTTTGATAAAACTGAAAGCTGATTTATGTATGTGGTTTATTGGAGATGACATAACAGCGCTTTCTTTCTCCTTCAGATTAAATCTCCAATCACGTTCTGTTTCACCACGCCGTGATAGAACTAGAATATTGGTCAAAGCTGCGTTTGACCAAACTCACTCACCCACTCACTCACTCACTCAATTGTGATATCGTCATCGATCTCGTGTACGATTTGAGCAAGAGGCTTTTGTTAAATAAAAACTGAGCTGATAATAATACATATACATCCCAGTTTAGTTTAAATGTGGATCAAACACAACTGCTCAAACATGTCCAGTTGATTGAAGTTCTGTTCCAAGGCACAACAGTGTATACGGGTGATTTCAAATCAAGGGTTCCTTTACAAGACCATCCACTCAGTTGTGAGATTGTGGACTGTTATGAATCATATGATGGCGTCATATGCCCTCGTAACTAAATATATAACATAAATAGGAGCAGAATTCAACAACAAAAAAGACACACTTTTCAAGTGGAAATTCTAAACAATTTCTGGATGCCACACAGCAACTTCTTGTTGCAGTCTCCGCTGAAGTAGCACGACAAATGTAAGGAAGGATACGATGCCTTGGTTTATACAGCACCAATGGCGTCAAACCAAGGCTGTTTCCATGGCAACTGCCTCCTCATTGCACTGCAAATTAACATGCACCTCTCTGCACGTAACCATATCCATAGTGATTCAATAGGTTGATGGTCTAATAAAGAGAATATTTGCAATCTTACCTGCTGAGAGTGAGATGGCAGACAACCCATACTGCTTGAGCTTGTCGAATGCCAAGATGGACGCCAAGTTCCCGGTGCCAAAGCACATCATCATGTAACCGACGATGAAGCAGCCAAACACGTCAGTACCATATTGCTGTCAAATGGAAAAGGACATTAAAGTCAGTTTCGTTCTGGATATAAACATTAAAATCATACTCAATAAATACATGAGGACTTGAAGAGACGCAAAACACTTGACACTTGATGACATTCATGGCAATTTTAATAGTAATATTTGATCCAAGGGACGTCATCTAGATGGTTTTGTCTCGTCCAAACCTTCTCACGAACGAGTGAGTTTAGTTTAATGGCGTTTTGAGCATTATTTGAGCAGACAACGTTTGAGCAGGAGTCGTATAGCATTCGTAGTAATCTTTTATAAGCATAGTCGATTAATTCTCAAAAGTTGGGGTATGTAAACAACAAAGCTGAAGCAACATGAATATTGCTCAGCATACAAACAAAGTTGACTATTGGAAAGTTGCAGTCATCCCTCTTGTCATGCAATATTGTGGAGAGTTATTTGTCACTCTGGATGTTCATGCATAGATGTAAATATGAAACAGGTGAGGCGGTTTCATTGGTCGTTTTCATTTCTTGTGAGTGAGTGAGTTTGGTATTACGCCGCTTTTAGCAATATTCCAGCAATATCAATGCGGGGGGAGACCAGAAATGGGCTTCACATATTGTGCCCATGTGGAATCGAACATGGGACTTCGGCGTGACGAGCTAACGCTTTAACCACTAGGCTACTCCACCGCCCCCTCGTTTCTTGTGATGGTGGGAATGAGTTGAAAGGACTAGGCTATTTGACCATTACTGAACGAGTGAGTAAGTTATTTAGGTTTTACGCTGCTTTGAGCAATATTCCAGCAATATATGTCTGGCTGGGGACACCAGAAATGGGCTTCACACATTGTACCGATGTGGGGAATCGAACCTGGGACTTCGGCGTGACGAGCGAACGCTTTAACCACCGTCCCTCATAATTGAACGTCAGAACATCGAAGTAACTGAGGCTAAAGTTAATCACTTGGCCAAATTTTGCCAATCGGAGAAGAAAGTCCGATGCTAAAACCCACGAGCACCATTATGGTAATGACACACCCAAAAACATAGTCAGGCCTCGATCATTGTTTCCAGCTCGCTCGAGGACACTTCTTGCCACAGCTAATAGTAGCGCCTTAGACAACCAGGTCACCTGACTCCTATCCTGGTAATGCCCTTTTGTATATATCGACGTTTTTCAGCCAACATCCGAAGGACAAGACTCCCTGCCTGACGGGTTTACAGTATATTATAATGCATTGACGTTTTGTAATAAACTCAATTAATATTATGTGCTAAAATCAGCCTTTTCGACACATTTTACTTCACATATGCATGTGCTGTAAAATGTCCGTAACAACCACGTGGTCAAATTAATGAACAAAGCCTTGTTCTCATTCAAATGTGATACCGTTCGTGAAACGAATAAAAGTTTGCTATTTGCGCAGATAATAATCACTGGGTCCTTATCCAATCCTGCCCATTGCGAATGTGATACGATACTTAAAAATTAAAAACAGTTCCTCTGTAATTATGACCTAGAGATAGCTTTTAGGGCCTAAAATGTCCCAAATAAACCATCGGACTCGCTTCATGATCACTTTGACAAAGACCTCCTTTATTGATAGCTACAAGGAAATGTCCTCCCGCACACATTCATGTACTAAATGAATCCCGATAACCACTGTTTTGATAGGCAATATTGTCACTATAAACTGCAAACGTTATCGTCAATATAATGTTCAGAGGAAATGGGACTTTCTTTCGATGTGACGAATTGCTATCAAGAGATTATTACTATTATTAACCCCCTGTGCTCAGGGGTAACTCGAAATATCTCTGTAAAAGGGCTTCAAATCTAATATTGATCCAGGCTTCAGATATGGACGATGCCGATATGAGGTATTTTATGTGAAATTTTGACAGCAAGCCTCAGGTGGAGACAGTGTTCAGGGAAATTTGTAGATTAAGCCTCAGTGTTTCTTTTGATATTTTAGGGAAATATCAGGAAATTCGCATAACAGGCAACTACTTCACTTTGAACAGATACATTACCCCTTATTTTGTGTCGAAAGAGTGTAGCCATGGCCTGTTGAGTCGACCCCCAGTTCCCTGAATCTTATGAAAGTTTGGAAATATTTGTTTCTAGTTACAGCACGATAGAGTACTGATAGATTTTATCTGATTACAGAGCTGCTGCCATCACAGAAACACACAATCTCTACAAGGGTAGGAGGGTAGAGTAGTAGTTAAAGCGTTTGCTAATCACGTCGAAGACCCGGGTTCGATTCCCTACATGGGTACAATGTGTGAAGCCAATTTCTGATGTCCCCCGCCATGACATAGCTGGAATATTGTTAAAAAAGCGTAGAACTTAACTCACTCACTCACTGTCCCCAGAACAAAGACTGAGACATTACCTATCTCTCAAATACCATGGTAATGTTAGCCTGACTGTACCATAACATCTCTCTTTTTTCTGCTTTCCATAAATACAGATATTTTTCAGAATAGTGTTCATTATTTTACACAATAACCTTTGGTTATAACGGACTCAAAGAAAAACTGCTTTTGCTTCGTTATAACCGTAGTTATGTACATTTCGACTAAAATATGATTGATGATCTTGCAAGGATAAGTGCTTGCTTTTCCCAATTCTCGTCTGAATTGCCATGGGTTTCTATTTTTCCGTTTTAGTTAGTACTAACGAAATCAATGCTTCTGTGGTGTATATTTTTGTATTTAATTACAATGGATCGATGTTCATGATGTCAATCACTGGATTGTCTTGTCTAGATTCGATTACATACATACCGCCTTAAAACATTGAGAATGCAGCCGATTTCGACGTTGAAAACAATCTTCTCAACCCTATTCATTTTTCAAGAGCTTTCAGCACCCTTCAAAACATCTCGTACCATGATATGTCCAAAGCATATTTCCCTCGAAATCGCAATGATGGGAACCAGATGGTACAACCTTAAGAATGTCTGACTGAGATATGAAAAGGACATTCGTTGACATAATTAAGGTCTGGTCTCGGCATCTACTCTTGAAGCACAGCACTTACCTGTCACTTCCGGAGTTAATTATCCTCTGGATGACAGATTTATGAATTGGTTATTGGCAAATTCCCGCCGACGTGAGATAGGAGCCTACATTTGGAAGTACATTGATCCAGGAGACTGAACAACCCTGATTAGTTATCACCTTAATGTTCTGAATCCTCTCAGCTGTAAGTCTCCGATTAATCTTTTGTAGAGAGGCATGGTAACAGTAATTTGCAATTGTACAAGAAAAGCTTCGCATCACCTTTCATACGTAGGTCAATTTGTCATTAAGGAAGTGGAGTTACACCATTGACGCCAGATACTTTGATCTAGTGCCTTTCAAGAAATATATGTATGTGTACTTCTTCTAAGCCTAAGCATAATGGCATGACTTATCGGATTCCAATACCAAAAAAGCCGTAGCTTTTTACCACAAGCCTATCGAGACATAATTGCCTTGGTGTATTATAACTAGTATGAATATATGTGATGATAAAAAGAAAGGGAACAAACGCGAAACGTATAAAATATATAAATTACAAAAAACAAAATATATAGACGAGCGACTACTTCTTAAAATTCTATTATAAACACCGGGTGTTCGTCACGCGCATGAGGCTGTCCTGCGCTGGGAGCGAGAATGGAATCATGAATAAACATATATTACTCATGCCATTTGAAATTCTTCTTCTCTACTTCTCCTTTGTTCTTCCCCGAACGCTACGGTTCAGGTATGAAAGAATATCGCTGAGGTTTCACTAAACTTTTGTTGTGCTAACGCATTGCGAAATTATCAAGATACGCGACTTGTACTATTAGAGTACCTTTGAAGTTTGGTATTGCAAATTATATTTGGAATAAATCCGAAAAAGAACCACAATGATGTCATGGCAAAAAATATATTACCCTTTCTACATATTTACAAATGTTATCAACATACTGACACAAGTACTAAACGCTTTTGTTAGTAAATATAATTATAGGAACATCGTATCCATGCAATTATACCATTAAGGAAATAATACGGTCACTAACTCACTGGGATATTACCATAGAGCAATATTGTATGGATATCGGTTTACATAAAACCCATAAACAATAAGCCACACTAACCCCAGACTAGTTTCAGCAATTAGAAAGTATATGTCGTGTATCTAATCTGGCGTCGTCAACATGATAGACGCATCATGGTCCTGTTAATGTCATCATGTTGTAACAATTATCACATTTCAATCCAATCCCATATGAGGCAGACCCAGTAACTCAATTTGGCCCTGCAAATGGTATTGATAGCATAGTTATTTCAGTCAATCATGTGTACATAGCACGTCAACACCGCATCAGCCCAGACCCTTCGCAGCAGCGCCGGGGACTTTTCTTGATAGGGTGATGGAGAAGTACAATCTAGGAGCATTGATCGAAGCATGGTCAAACACAACACATCCAGACTAGGCTTGGAGGACTTGTTATCCACATAGTTGAGCATAGTTGAGATATTATGGTAGGAGATGAAGTTCCCTGTTTTCAAAGCCTGATTGTTCCTTTTCGGTTATGAGACTTTTACGATTCCATTATTACATGCTTCATTTCAGATATTGGTTTATATTGACAGAACGGAAACATTGCGTCGACAGAACTCGGATTGTTATGTGAGCAACAATACTGTTGTTGGACAACAGGTGTCCAATTCAAAAACGTTCTGTTTTTCAAAAGAGGTGTATGTTTTCCATATGTATGTTATGTTTGACGGATGCATTTCTCTATCTGAATTTCTGTTAAATATTTTTCATATTTCTGAAGTACAATATGCTTTTTCCGTTGAGCTCAGGTCTTGTAATGTTTATTGTGGCGGAGAAAATAATTTCTCTTTTACAGTTATGTGCACGCAAGTCTGAGTGTCTTTTGTACCTTTCCGCAGTATTTCCAGCTTTCGGTGCCATCAACTGATACATCCCTAACCAAATCCCTTGATCGAACAATTCATCCAGCAACGTTT